ATCGGGAATATAATTCTCAACCTTTTAATAAAAGAATAATTTGAACGAAAAAAATCTCACTCTAAAACATGAATACCCAACTATAGGATAGATTGGAGCACTTCTGAATGGTCTCAGAATCATAGTGTTATCTACTCTTCCTCCTTCGACTCTAGAAAGAACTGCTCAATTTTGATCCCATCCCTATCGAAAAATACAAAGTTTCTTACCCTTGCCTTAAATTTTAAAGTCTTAAAAATATTTGTCACTACTTTAATCGAGAGTATTCTTAAGAGATTAACTTCTCTTAGGATGTAATTAATCATAGCCCTATGGGGAACCTGTATCTCCAAAATAAAATGAACCCTATCTTACTCCCGTAGGATAGGAGAAAGATCTTTGGGAAGATAAACAGTCTTTCCAAAATCTATTTCTATTTTCAAATACCCTTGTAGAATGTCGTTATCATCTTTTAAGATGATATTGTATTCTCTTTGTCATATTTGATCGTAGAATTGACGCATTTTTCAAAACCCATTCTTGCTTTCAAAATCCTTCGTAGAATATTGTGTTCATCTTCCGAGATGATACATTATTCTCATTGTTGTTTTTGATAGAAAGAATGGAAATTTTTTCAAAAACTTTATTCCTCTTTTAAAACACTTTCATAGAAAATTATGTTTATCTTTTGAGGTGATATTTTCGTTCACTTGATTGTGTTTGATTAAAGAAATGATATTTTCTAAAATACTATTTTGTTATTGAATCCATTGTAAAATACGGTGCCCGTCTTTCAAGATGGTTCATTATTCTCAATGCAGCATTCGATCACAAAATAGGAGAGCACACTGAATTTGTGTGGCCATTTATTTTCCCATAGATTTATCTGGCAACTCTCAATTATTGAAATGCATTTCAGCTGTTACATGAGCTAATCTAAAGAAAATTTCTATTGAAGAACCGAAACATGAAAGAGCCCAATTCCATTTTAGTGATGTTATTAGTCGAAGAGAAAAAGGTGTATATATATAGTCATGTAGCTTAGAAAAGAAGAGATGTGTAGTCATGTAGTTTAGAAGAATGAAAAGCCATAGTCATCTAACCCATAAGTAAGAAAAGTTGCAAGAAATTAGTGTAAAGAGGAAGAAAAAGTAGATAACCTGTGGGATAGGAGCCAAAAAAGGGAGAAGAGCTTTCGTGCGAGAGAGAACCCAAAAGGCCGAAAGAGGAGAGAGGGAGGTTCCGTGCAACAAAGCCTCAATCTAGCGAGGGTTGCCGCCATCCATACCTCTCACAATCGACCACATGGAGAACATGCAAGCAACCGACCGCACCCTTGCCCCTCACACACGACCAGACAGAATGCATGCAAGGGCCACCTGCTCCCTTGCGTCTCTCCCGCTCGATTAGGTGGAGAGTGCGCATATGCCAGCCATCACTCCCCCCTTTCTCATGCAATCAGGTCCAATCGAATGAGAGCATTCCCTAGATATTATGGGAGGGAGTAATGACCATACAAAGGAACTATATTTCAAAGAAAATAAATGTATAAGAGGGCTAATTGATGCAAAATAGTTGAATTAACAAGTAGATTTGATAGGATTTTAATATAGATTTAACTTTAATGTGCTAATTCGAGTTAATTAACCCTAATTCTTATTTTTTCTTTTGTTAATTAGAGACGAGTCAATTGCACTTAATCGAATTGGGGTTATGGAAGTAAATGGTTTGGGTGGAATTGAATTGATTTGACATTGAGCCAAATCGACTCGTCATGGTTTAATTTAACACAATTTAAATTTGATTAACCTTCAATAACTTAAAATTGAGTTGATTAGGTTAGATTTGACGCAAACCCTTGTGATAGAAATGAAGTTGTTGTGATTGACGTTGAGTCAATGCTACGTCAACGGATGTCCACTTAAGGGGAGCCCTATAGGTGACTTCTACACTAAGGTAGGTGTTAACGAATATTTTCGTATCAACCCGACCCCGATCAACCTTAAGGCTCCCTAGCCAATGGCATGTGATTGACGATCCAAAGCTTTAGGTCCCTAGAAACTTTGATTTTTTTGGTCCCCCAAAATCCTTTTGTTGGCTGTCCACTTCGTAAAACTATGGAAATTTGGTGATTTCCATTTGTTGGCTCTCATGTGAGAGTCCGGAGAGGATTTCAATGTGTATGGATGTGTTGGATTGGTGTCCAACACCTTCCAAGTTGTGTGATTTCGCATTCATGCATCTTATCTATCACCTATGATCGCACCATAGGCTAGGACATTTCATTTGACCTAGAACTAAATGTTAAGGTGTAAATTTTTGTTTACAACGTCGCATGCCATGTTACATTCCTTAGATTGACATGTTATGACAAAATTGACATGCAAGTGTAGGAACTTACACTAAGGGAAGTCTAGGGAAATGATGATGGCTCATCCTTTCCTCTAACTCTTGAAATCCCTCAAAATTTGAGGGTTTCAGTCTTGTCTCTATCCCCCAATCACACCCAAAATTGATTGGGATCTATTTCAAACTTAGTATGCGCATTTCCTATATATGCATAGGTGGGATTCGAACATGAGTTTTCACTAAAGCATTTCCCTCATTCCATCTCATTCGTCACTGGTTCTCTTCCAGTTCAAGCTGAGGGAAAATCTAGGAGGATTGCTGTGTTGCTAGCTGTTGTGGCTGACTTTAGAAATGAGGAAATTGTTATTTTCCTGCTGTTATAAAGTGTTGTAGCTAGAACATAGAGGTGAGGTAATCAGTGGTTATTGATTTTACTAGCTGAAATTTCGGAAATTCAGGTCAGTTGCTGAATTTAAGTACTAAAATCAGTGTTTTCTGCTGTTTAAACTGCAGTTGTTTGCTTAAACCATCAAGATAAGGGGGTTATTTATGATTTTGTGCTGACCCAGTGGAAAAACAAAGAGTAAGGAGCTAATATAATGTTGCTAAAATTGATAAGTTGTTGTTGCAAAGTTTATTGAATTTTGCTAGAATATGATCACAATGCTTTGCTGAAATTTGCTAGAATGTGACCATAATTGCTAAAAACAAGCTTTGAATGCAGTAATAAGACAAATTCAATGGGTTGTTATTGAATCCAATTTAGGAAAAAAAAAGAGTTAAGAAAGGAATTTGGAAGGATGAGAAGAAGTTTGACGGAGGTGGTATACAGAAGAAAAAGAAGTCAGGGAATTGTAAGAGCGCAAATTGCAAACGAGGTAAGGTACCCAACAATACATAGAAATAATAAAAAGTTTATATAATTACAAATTGATATTTATCTTATTTATAATAACATTTCTTTTCCCATGATAGCATGTATTTCAAATAGTTTAATTACTTCATATGTGAATTACATGTAGTTGATTCCAATTTATATAATTGTTTGAAATGATTCTGAAAAATGTACCTGAAATGAAGGAGAGTATAAGTGCTTTTAAGTCATATGTTGGGGGATAAGTCTGCACCAGTAAGGGCGAAAGACCTGACGAGGTAAGTCTATACTCTCTCAATCTAAAAGTTGGGAATTTGGACTCAACCTTGAATGAGAGAGCAACTTCAATTCTAAAAGTTGGGAATCTAGACCCAACCTTGAATTGAAAAACTAAAAATGGTGCACAAGCTTATAGACATCATATGACTTGTTTGAAGCTGTTAATTAGACAGCAAAAAGGGAAAGCAATGCTACGCATTTCTTACTACTATATGTATGGAATTTCAATATGTACCTATGTGTGGGCTCCGAAAATTCGGCCCCGGCCTCCCCGCGCGCTTTTCTTATTCGGCGATGGAGTTTTAACTGATAAGTTCCGAGGTAAATTTTGGAAGGGCAGATGGGTTTTTAGATAAGACACTACCCAGAGATTTCGCCCTCATTTTGCGAGGACTTTATGATCTGAGTTCTGGTTTCCTATAGGCGCAAGCCCCTATAGTTAATTACCCCTCCCGATCACGAGAGAGAACTTTCGATTAAGGCTAGTCATCGATCAGATACGTATAGAAATACGTGTTATCTGGCATATAGTAGCAGCAATGGGTTTGAGAATATTTAATTATAATTAATATTATTTAATTATAATAAATTATATTTAAAAATAATTAAATGATTAATTAGAATTAATAATAATTAACTAATCAGTTAAATATTATTAATAATGATTAACTATATTTAATTATAATTAATTATAATATTTATAATTAATAATTAATTATAATAAAACAATAATTATTAAATTAATTATAATTATAATTAATTAATAAAATCAAAATATCTCTCCCTCACTCTCTCTCGGTTCAGTGGATTACGGGATTTGGCCGAAGAAGTGCACAGAGGGGAGAAAGTTACCTACACAGCTTGCGAGCTCCTGTTCTTCCTCCCGATCAAAATGTCGTTACTTCCGAGCCGACCGAGAGGGAAAGCCGTGGAAGGAGCGGGGTCAGACAGCTAGAAAGGGGTCGAAGGAGCGCTTGGAAGGCAGAAAGTTGATTTCACGGTCGAGCGAGCTCCTGTTCTTCCTCCCGATCAAAATGCAGTGACTTCCGATCCTTCCGGTCCGACTGGAAGGGAAAGTCAGCGAAGGAGCACGGTCGAACCACCGGCGAGCTCCCGAATTGCTTCCGATCAAACTGTCGTAACGTCCGATCCGACTGGAAGGGCGAGTCGTCAGACGAGCGAAGGTAGGCAGCGGGAGAGAGTTTGCGGGAGAAAGGGAGATCGCGAGAGGAGAGCTGGAGCGGGAGAGATGTCGGGAGAGAGATTGGCGAGAGGAGTGAAGGAATGAGAGAAAGAGAGCGGGAGATTGCGATATAGAGGGACATCTGGTCGTGCGAGGTCGTGGGCGACGACGTGCTGAATTCGGCGCCGGACAGGTGAGTTAATTTTTTTTGTTTTATACGGCAAGTCAACACTATGTTATAAAATTCTAAATTGTTAAACAATGTTACTATTATTTCTTTTACATTACTCGTGTATTTCATTGTGTCCTAGCTCATTAGCAGTGGTTATACTGCAGGTAAGGGAAATGAGCCCGTAGGGCACTAGGCAAGAAAGAGGTGACCATCTATTTTTGGTGTAAATATGTTTTGGTGTACAAAGAGATCTTAGAGGAGATCTGAAGAATAGCTGTATAAACCTTTTGATATGTATGTAAAATTCAAAAGTTTTAGTAGAGCTCTGTATTTGTTTTAACTATGTTGATGTTCAGTAAGGTATGTTACATGCTTTCTATTATTCAATGTGAAGTTTGATATGTTGAAGTCCTCTTTTATACTCCAGTTTAAATGTTAGAGGGTGAGCAAACTGGGGTGTGACAAAAGAGACCCCATAAATATGATATATGCATAGCAGGTGGACAAAATGGACCCCTAAAGAGGGAAAAGGGACCTCTTTGTAATTCAATAGTGATAATGTCAGGTTTACTTGGACTCCATTGAATATTTTTATGAAAGTATAGTCAAATTTTTTAAAGACTAAAATTGATATGGTGGATGCTTTCTTTCGGATGATCCACCATCATTTCAATTGATTTAACATTCTACATTATGCGGATCTACTGGCGTATATTCTCTGGCAAGAGAAGATTCTATCACAAACTTTCCTATCTTTGATTTTTCATCCACCGCATTATTTTTATGAGTCATTAATGCGGTTGGAGTGGGAACCATCTTAGGCCGCCAAACTCTCTCCCTATCAAATACAGAGGGTGACTGATTTGTGAACTTCAATCTCCTCCTATTGAAATAAGAAGATGATTCGTTACCTAGAGAATGGTGTCGATCAACCCTGGACGAATGCTGACTTGAAGTATAACCTGAAGTTCTCACTGGAAGATTCCTAAACTGATGCGAAGATGGGGGAGATGGGATTATACCCTCAGCAGGTTAATGCACCTTATCCTAAAGATCTAATAAGAGTTGATTATGCTCGTGAACTGATTCTACATGTTGATCATGATTTGGAAACTTCTTTGGTTCCCTACGTTAATCTATAAAAGCAGCTGGTCGACTTGGACCTGATTTCTGAAACTGCACTCTTCTCTTAGTGGCAGAGGATGTTCCTCGTCTTCCATATGAGTCTGGTTGTACTCTAGTAGAAATAACATCCTTGACACTTCTCAGAAATTCAGTCTTTGACTGCCCATAATCAGCCGTACAGTTGTGGATTAATCCGTTTAGAAGAGTTTTAAATTTTCTCTTCCTTTCAGATAGAGAAGGTAGAGCAAGGTCTCTACAAAATGGAGCAGGAGGCGAGTTTGGTATCCTGACTAGAATTTTCTCTTCAGCAGCAGCTAATAGTGGGTGAAATATGCTCCCAGCTAGCTGAGGTGAATTAACATGTAGTACTCCATAATATGTTCTCTTTGCTGCTTCAGTTGCAGTGACGATCAAAGCATCTTCTTTCTACTGTTCAGCTTTCTTTGCCATTCGCCTCATACGGAGATTCATATTGTGATGTTAAGATTTAGTCATCTCCTTCACTCCAAAAGATGATCCCATCTCACAGTTCCTGAATACGGGGATTCCAGAATTAACAACTGACTTTCCCTTATTAATGGCAACAGACCGAGAGAAAGTAAGACAGGAGAAAACCGAGGGCTTTAGTTGCTGCAGGAACAGCTATACACCCACCCTCGATGTTGAGAGTGCTAACTTGACAGATTCAGTAGTTGCAACCACCTCAGCCTGTGGTGCAGTGAATGTCACTTGTAGGTTCTCAAAATTTGATTCAGACTTGATCTGGGTGCTCTCAACAAACTGGGCAGCGGTGATGTTGAGGTTAAAGATGAGTTTTCCAGACATTTTATTCGATTTAACAAGAAATCCAAATCAATTGGTGAAATTATTGAACCCAAACTGAATGCTGAATCAGCTTGGTTTCTAAGGTAAATGCTAGATAATTGATGGTTGGAAGATGAATGGAAAACCTAAGGACCCAATCCATAGAAAGGATATGATCGTGAAGTACATATTTGGAAAAAATGATTGATTGAATACTGAAGTCGTATTTGCTTATCGAAGAGAGAATTGATTGAAATAAGCTCTTAAATATAATGCCTGAAAATAAGCAACTTGCTTATATAACTAATGGTATTATCGGTTTAGAATCTAATCTCTACAAAACATGGAAAGTAAACCTTATCCCTAGCGGAGTCGCCAAAAAAATCTTGTGGACAAATTAAACGTTGAATCGTGACCACTCGATTTAATTTAATATTTCTTCAGAAAATCCACCTAATTAGTGTTAATTACCTCAAAAAATAAACTTTAGTTCTAAGCATCCACAACCAGAACATCCTTGGTTGCAAATGGTTATACAAAACCAAGTTCAACACTTGATAAAGAGTTATACATGAAACAACCGCCAGGTTTTGAAGACACTCAACATCCAACTCATGTGAGTCGATTGCACAAATCCATCTGTGGCCTAAAAAAAAACCACCCCGGCAGTGGTTCACCACCTTCTCCTTGCAACTACTACAATACGGATTCAGTGCAAGCAAGGCCGAGCCTTCACCATGGACATGTTTCCTTATATTTTTTAATGTATGTTGATGATGTTCTTCTTACGGGAAACAACCATGCTGAGATCGACAAACTACTCCAGCATTTGAGCTCTACCTTCTGTCTGCATAATTTGGGCCCCGTGTCACTCTTCGATGGCATTCAGATTACACACCAGCCCTAAGGTCTGCTACTTTCTCAATACCGCTACATTATTGATGTTCTTAGGAAATCTGGCATGAAGTCTTGTAAGCTATTCTAAACTCTTCCCTCAAAATTACTAGCCCCTGTCGAGAGCACTGATCCCCTACAGCAGCCTGAATTCTACAGACAAGTGCGCTTCAATATGTTACAATTATAAGACCAGACATTGTTTTTGTTAAACTTCTTGTGTCAACATTTCTACAAACCACAGCACATACATTTTCAATATCTGAAAAGTGTTCAGATATTTGAATGGCACCATCAATTTATGTACTACCCATTACAAAATCTGCACTTGATCTCCATGCTTATGCAGATTTAGATTGGGCTGCAAATCTCATAGACCGGAAATCAATTTTTGGTTTTTGTACATTCCTTAGCATCAATTTATTATCCTGGTTAGTTAAGAAACAACTCAATATTGCTCGATCATCCACAGAGGAATATCACGCTTTGTCAGTTGTTGCAAGTGATATCATGTGGCTACGCCGATTACTTCATGAATTTAAGCTCTCGATTACTACCCCGACTCAAGTCTACTGTGATAACACCTCTGCTATTGCCTTAGCCAACAATCCCTTTTTTCATGCCCGCACCAAACATATCGAGTTCGACTATCATTTCATAAGGGATTGCATTAAAGATCAGCAAATTTCAATTCATCATATCTCATCTAAGGACCAACCAGCTGATAACTTCACTAAAACTCTTCCAATCACCCGGTTTTTGCAACTCAAACACAAGTTAACAATTCAAAATGCATCGTCAACTCGAGGGGGGAGGTGTTAACAGACACATGCTATACCACATGCTGTTATAATAGTAATAAGTACTCATGCTCCATAATACTCTTCTATGGAACCACATCTGTTATTATTGCAAGCCAGTCCACATGATACCTGCACATAGGATCTCCACCGTTTCTTTTTAACTAATTGTTCCCTCTACATCCTGATTTATACGCATGTAATGTATTGAACAGTAACATTGCATAAAGCATTTACTTCTACACTCTTGCATCTTCTCTTTTTTTTTTCTTTTTTGAAACGGGAGTATCTACCTGCTGCCACCTCCATAGAAGGCGCACACCGGCGTAATTAATCCCTCGATGAGCCTACCAACAACTAATCCCTCAACGAGCCTACCAACAACTAGGTTTACTTCTACACCCTTGCTTCTTCGCTGAAATATGCTTGTACATGTTTAAGGTTTCTTCAAAAACCAGTTTGTATCTGCATGTTGCGTGTGAACTCATTTTTTATTTCCTAGTTCTCTTGTGTATCAGTTGCTTCCATTTGGGGCTTGGGTGAATACAGAGTTTATTAGTACGGGTTGTCCCAAACCCCTCAATTATCTGTCCTGCTTTGTGCATTTCATCGATTCCCAGTTCTATGCTTAGGGATTGTCTGATTGGATTAAAGGTTGATCTAAAATATTGTATACATTTTTTTTCCCTACTGTTTGATTTTATGTTGACCGTTGATTTCTTAATTGAAACTCAGGATTCGTTTGGGACAGTTTTCTTAATGATTTTTAAAGCAATTTTTTAGCACAAAAAGTTTATTTTTTGTACTTTAATAATTTATTTATTTTTTTTAATGATTATTTTTTAATTACCAATTATTTTAAATTATTTAAAAGCCCTTTTAATACTTTATACTTAAAAAATTCACTATAATTTCATTTTAAATTCGATTTTGACTCATAATACCTCTAAATTTCTAGGAAATTATGTATTTTCTTTTGAAAGTATTTTTAGAGGCTAGATTTTCTTTTCTAGCTGATTTCTGTTTTACTTAATTATTTGGTTATTTAAATAATACTTAAATAACTATTATCTTAATTATTTTGAAATTATAAAAATTATTTTTAAATCCCTTTTAGGCCTTATTTTAGTGACCAGTGGATCTCTCCTATACTTATTACAAATTAATTTATTTTTAATTATCTTATTTTCTAATATTTATATGTATTGTAAATTACTTTAAAACTATATATAATATTAAATCCCTAATTTTGGGAGACTGACTCTTAAAATTTTAAACCTTGGCTATACTTATGAATAATATTCATGGGGAGGTGAGATTAGTGGGTGGTTGAGTTTTAATCATCCATTAATCGCATCGTTAATCATACTTAGTCATCTTTTTCATTGTACTTTGAATGCATAGGATGCACGAGCACTTAGCATAAGCCCTCCTAGATCCTAAGAATTTGTGTGTTTCTTTATTTATATACTCCCTGCATGTTATCCAAGGATTAGTTCAAAACTTGATTTAAATCCTGTTTAACATAGCGACATCCTAAGGACAATAATTAAAGACCCGTCTAACAAATTTAGAAAAATTTTAGGAGCTAGAATAGATCACCAATTGATATGAAATTTTTAACATTTAAACTAAGTGACATTCTAAACCTTTCAGAATTTCTAGGAATTTTTAGGAGCATTTAGACTCTTAATTAACAAGCCCTAATTTAACCTATAATTAAGGCCCCGATAACTTCATAAAATTATAATGAATCCATTTCAACTCAAAAAATTACCCATAATACCTCAAACTCTCCAAAATACAATATTTAACCTTACATAATTAGGGCCCCTTAGTTGGACTTTAATATGAGCCTTAATTTAACTTTAATTAAAAATCACCTTTTTGCCTTAATTAAATAATTAAAATTTATTGAAATTTCTAAAATTTTTCCAAACACTTGGGAACACTTATTTAGGTCATTTATGACCTTTGGGGGTGATTCCAATCAGTTTGGAGTAAATTTGGATCAAAACCCCAAAATTACCCTTTATTAAACAATTTTTGATAATTCATTAATTTCCTAAATCTTCTAAAATTCATATGTTTGCCTAGAAAACTCCAAATCTAGCAAACCCAAAACCTAAATACTCACCGTAAGGCTTAATATTTAAATAAAATGCTAAAACCCCCAAACCTAGCCTATTTCCTATAGTGCCCTTTTGGACCCCCTTAGCCTAGCGTATAGGAGGACCCCAGACTTTTCAAAATTAGCTAATACAACTTAAACTTCAATTATAACTATCCTAAGCTTTAAATCAACAAAATAAATTAACTAAAATAGATCCTAATTCATTAATACTTAAACTTCAATCAAAGTTTCCTTTTCAAACCTTCAACAAATCTGGACTCTAGGTAACTTAAACTAACTATCCTACATATTTCCTATCTAAAGCCACACAAGCATATTATACACATATAGATGTTCTAGAGAACCACTTCTAGCTCTTGGATTAGGGTCGGTGTTTACTTTATCTGCTTTCTATATTATGATGATTTTTGTGTTACACGAATGATTGATTGATGTGTTTTGATTTATTATATTGTGGCTGAGCTTTATTTTATTATATTTTATATACATTGATTATGTTGTAATTTGTGCATTAGACTGCCCATGGGTTAGGGTCATTGTTATATTAACCCAATGTTATGCAGGCGGCCACGCTCATGCATCATTAAAATAAAGGTGAAATCATAATTAAGATTTAAATACTAATGCTATTTTCTGCAGATGCTCCAAATACTGCTTAGCCCCCTTAAAATTAAAAGAGCGTGGCCAAGTGTGTTTACTTTTCTATAATTATAAATTGCTTGGATGTGATATATGAATTTCTTGTGTGATTTTTATTAGGATAACCATACAGGAGTTTGAGTCTATATTTTTCTCTTTTAAATACAATTTGATATAATTATTATTGAGTTGTGAAAGTCTCTAAAAGTCTGGCATTTCAAACACTTGGTACCCAAAGAGAATAAGAAAAACCCCCTTTTAGAGAATTTCTTAGTCATTTGGGTACCCTTTTGGAGGACAAACCAGACGGAGCATGAAGGAGACGATCTAAAGGGAGATGATCAAGAGAAGGATGATCCACTCGAAGATGGAGACTTGAAGATGATATGCCTGGATTTTGAGACTTATGTCGTTTATTAGGATTAGAATTTAGGTAACTGTCAGTGGAGCCTGGCCACCATTACTTTTCTGCAGACCCTGGGTTGTAGTTATATGACACTTGCCATGGACTTTCTTTTCTTTCTATTTCTATAAATTTATATTGATGTGTTTATTAATTATTGTATAATAAAAATTATATGATTTTCTTAAGTTTCTTTCTTGCATGTATGTGTCCTATTTTTGTTAGGCTATTTAAGGACTAAAACATTTTATACTAGTAATTAAATTCTAAAATTTTAAGGTTTAAATAATATAAAAACTTAACGAGCTTGGAAACTACCAAAATCGTCTGGGGTCGCATGCATATTAATGCATTCTTATTTCTCCTTCTAATAATTCACCTCCTCGCCTACGGGTAGAGTCTGGATAATCTGGCCTATGAGGATGAAGTGCCGGACCTAGGGAGACCCAATCTTTTCTAAAAATTATTTTTTATATAAGCTTATTTTTAAAATCTAAAGCATACATGATTTAGACTTTTAAACTAGCATGCATTGTATTAGAAACTTATTAAATTAAAATTTAATTGCATTAGCTCTAGGAGCATTCACCCTACATACATCCAGGACTAATTAGAAAACTCTCTAGATTTTAGCCCTACTTTTGAAAAACTAAAATATCTATCTTTCATAAAGACTTGGATAGTATAGATTTTTTGCCCTTAGGTGGTTAGTTGGCATCCCTTTTGAGGCAGGGTATAAGCCCAAGTGCATTAACTAGGACACAGGTGTTAGTGTTAGTTATAACACTAAACCCACATTAGATCTAGGATTCAATGATACTATATTCTGGTCTCGTAGTATGTCTAAATGGTAGGTAAGTTCCTTCTCTTTGGGAGCTATAAATTCTACTTATCCACTTCACATGGATGACGCGACCTCCATCCTTCCCCTCTATATGCTTTGAGTGATTGATTTCTTTTCTCCACTTTCTCAATGCCTTAGTCCCTCCGGATATCTGAGATAAACCGTGCATGTTGGCTAAGCTAAATTAAGCCTTTCCTTTCCTTTTGAGTAGGAACTTCTTAATCTCGCTTTTATGTACCAATCTCCTTTTTGGGAAGAATAATATCAGATCCTTAATTGAGAGTTTTCTCGGGTCCTAGGCTCAAGATGTAATTAACCACGAGGGCTTACGCCCGTGGGAAATAAAACTCCACAATCAAATAAACCCCACTCGAGCTGATGTATTGGGTAGGGGAAACCCGTTGTTTCAATCAAGTTGTATATATTACTACTCATCAGGGTGTGCTGATGAGAGCCACTATCCTTAATGGTTAGTCATATGTACGATATAATCTACCCTTCCATTGGCTCGTTTGTGAGGAGCGCGAAGGCATGCAATCATCTCTATCCCTCGGAGTGGTGCGGTCATACACCCCCTGCACTCTG